CTTCGCCAGTATGCTTCAGTTCCTCTCAAGCGAGAAAATATAGAATAAAGATTGGATTCTAAAACATTTTCATCCAATTGTTTCTTGAAATTTCCTGCAGTGTATTTGTAACGTGTATCCAAAACATGTAACATGTGATAAATTCCTGCATTGAGATTTCTCATATTGCTATCATGTAGATAATAAAAAAGTAATTGTTTGCTTTCTCTAAATTGTGAATGTTTAGATGTTAATATATGTTTAATAAAATCAGAATCTCTTAATCTGATATCTCTCGGAACACGTTGGCCACATTCACCATAGGGATAAATGTCTGGAAAACATTTCAAATCTAAGTCTTTCTCATTGTAAGCTAAAGGATTTTCATAAACTTTTTTCATTTGATATAATTTTGTATCTGATTCATTCGGTTTTTTAACATGCAAAGCATTTATTGTATATTCATCGTAAAATGGGTCCGACTGCGATTTTGCTGTCAATAAAGCTTCTGGCTCAGGCATTTTAGTAATACCTGCAGCTTCCTTACTCTCTTGATCGACTTTGTTAGCAGAATCTTCTTCAACATATTCTAAATCTGTATCTTTGAGTTCATTCAGTAAATCTTCTGGATTAGTAGGAAGATTAATTTTTGAATAAAGAGTATTGTTTTCTTTGAGCCATTTCAAAGCATCCCATAGTCTTTTTACATTTACATATTCTTCCCAAATAATCTTACCTTTAGTAGGAATACTTCGAACCAATATATATAACTCATGAGCAGTGTTCAATGGATCGGTTTCTTTACACAATTTTCGTAACGTTTCATCTAAAGGTAGAGGCAAATGAAATACTTTCCCCACAAGTTTATCATGGCGAGCGTAATGAGGTAGATTTTTTTTCATAACAGTGCTTTTTTTCTGGATAACTTGAAATGCTTTTGCACGCTGAATTAAAATCTTTTCATACATGTTCAAACATTTCAATTCGTCAGGAATAGGTTTAAAGTAAAGATTATTTAAAAGACACGTAGGGGGTATAGCATTTTTTTTAAGTTTTTCCAAACAAGTTTTGCAAATCTTACCATTTTCAAATACTTCTATCAAATTATTATTTTCATAGTATTGCACTAAATTTGCCCAAGATTCATTTTTAATTCCTAATAATTCACATGCAACATTTGGTTCATATTTTTTAACATCTAGTACACTTTTATTGCGACATAATCGTTCGCAAGAAACACAAATATTTAATGGAAGATCGTTCAAACTGTTATAATAAATTTTTACGCCTTCATGAAGCTTCTTTAATATTTCAGTTTCATCTAATGATATTTCATCCGTACTTTTGCATTGAAATACCGAAAACGACGCAGCTTTAGATGCAATATCATTCAATGTATCCAAATCACAATTATTCAAAGCTTCATTAACATCTTGGATATTTCTGTAACATTTAAGTAAAGCATATATCATATCTTTAATTGCTCGTAAAAAAGGAAAATGACTAGCCATAGTTCGTAGTTTCAAAAATGTCGAATTGCACAAGAAAATTCCAATATGACAAACAATAGGATGACCAAGTTTTTCAGGATTTTGTGATTCGGCACTACATTTATCAAGGTTTTTTAAAAAATCATAAGCATCTGCATAAACCAAATTAATCAAATTTTCAAAAAGATTTCTAATCTCGTTCACAGTGTGAATATCAGGCATTTTACAATATTGACTGCATAACCAAGTATTTTGATTTTTTATGCCTTCAAGTAAAGGTAAGACATTAGTGGATTGTCCATTCTCATTCAACACTATGACATTCATTTTACTCGAATCCGTAACAAGTAATCCGTTCCCAAAGTCATAAATTGCTTCGAAAAAGTATGGCTCTGAATAAGAGGAATGCATTGAAGTTCCACACAAGGCTGCAATAGCATTATTAATATTTACATTGGTAATATTAATATCTCCTAAACGACTTAAACCAACTGTTGCTTTATCTCTTAATTTTTTTAATATAGACTTATTTTCTGATATAAATTTATCCCTAACTGAAATAACTCGAGTAATTAAATGTTCAGCTTTAATTTTAGCTTCTGAAGTAGAAGGAACATTTAAAAGCGGTATAATTTTTGCAACCCAAGTTTGTTTCTCCTGAAATAATTTTCTTGTAGTGTGCTTCACATTGATGACAAAATATTTTCTTTTTATGTTTAAAGCACGTTGCCGCTTGCACTTAATTAATTTATCTTCCCGATGGAGTTTGTAATAGCTTTTTCTATCATCCAGTATTTTTTCTTTGCGTTTTTCATAATACTCCTTTTTATTTGCTAATATTTTATTTTTATTTTTCTCATAATACGTTCTATTCTTATCTCCTTTCTGAATGATTTCTTTTTTCATATTTGTCTGGGGATGATTATTCATGTAACGTAATTGACGTTTTCTACTTATAATATCTTTATTTTTTTGATAATACTCTTTGTCATAGTTTTTTCTTTTCGTTGTAATTGACTTCTTGATAACTTTGTTACTAGAAAAATTTATATTCTCACTAGATTCAGTACATGGCCTATAACTAAGAATTTTCCCGTCTGGAATTGAATTTTCTAACATGTTATTTGATTCCTTAATATTATACTTGCAAGGATTATGAAACTCTTCAACATCGTTTAATTCGCTTTTAATTTGAGTACTTGGAGCAATAATTTGTGGAATTGTAAAAGAATCTATTTGTGACTTGTTGTGATCAACAATTCGAAGCGTATTTTCAGTTATAACTAATGGTTTACGTTTTGCCTCAGGCAACCTAAAATCTAACATAGATTTTCTTTTCCGACAACTAGTAGACGTATTATTAAAATTGGAATTAATTACTGTATTGTTTGAATTTGAATATGAAATACCTTGAATTGATGGTTCTAGTAGCATTGATTCATTGTGTTCAACTTTTTGCAAGAAAATAACGTAAGCATCTGAAATAACATTTGGAGGAGTTATATTAGTTACGTTACTATCGCTGATTCGCAACCAATTGTCGTTCTGTCGTATGTAATTAATGTAATGTCCACTGCTATTAGATTGTCCAAGATGAACAATTACACTACTAATTTTGTATAGATTGTTATTGATTACAACATTTGTTAGTACATCTTTTAAAATAAAATTGTTAATTTTTAAAACTTCTGTACCTGTATGATAAAATAAATTATTTTGCATTATTAAAATGTTATTAGTAGTTGCCAAAGTTAATATTTCATCACATTTTCTCTTACTTTCATGACAAAAATCGCAATGTACATCACTTGGCTTAGGACTTTCTAAATTAATGTGAATCAATTCCTGTAATGCACACGTAAGTTTATCTAAAGAAATGGATAGAGGATATATATTGTTGTAATATGGATTCAGAACTTTTCTATTGTCACAGTAAGAACATAGCAATGTTGTTTGTAATTCATGTCGAACAGCCAATTTTATTTGTTGAAATTTATCGCACAAAAAACCAATGAACTCTGGTACATCTTGCTGACGATTTTGAACATAATCTTGATTTATAAATTTCCGTAAGTTGAGTATATCTACATGAACATTATTATTTTGATATTTTAATTTGTAATTGTTAAATACTTCATACAGTACATTGTGATGACCTGTTTCTATAATATTTCTAATTGATAAAAAATTAAATAAACTTTGTATGGAAGAATTTGCATAACAAGAAACACCGTCTAAATTAGGAAGTCCAGATATTTGCCAGTTAGTTTTCAAAGTAATATTTAAATTACCCACAACATTTTCTGAATATACTCCAAAGTTTCTTTTAGTTACAGATAAAATGTTAGAATCTAAACTTTCATTTGTGTTTGTTATTGAAGGAAAATGTTGTAATTCGTCACTTTCAAATATTCTATAAAGATGATCACGCATTTTTTCCTGAATATAATTTGTAGTTGAAGGATTCTTATTTAAAAATACAGTTGTGGCAAATGCTATAGCATATACACCGCAATCCTTATAATTTGTTTGGTTTTGGACTTTTTCAAAAATAAGTTTATCATTGTCGAATATTTCATTTTTAATAAAGTAAGGAAATAATTGTTTCAAAAATACTTCTATGCAAGGATGTAAATAATGTTGATTTAGTGAATCAAAGATATGTACGAACTTAGTATCATAATAGCAACAAACCCAGTGGCCACCAACACATTTACGACAATTATCGTTACAACTGTGTAATATTTGTAAATGCACAGAATCTTTTGGAATAGGTTGAATCCATTGTTTATACGGATCTTTCATAATTTTTTGTATCGAAAGAGTACATCTTGGCTGAAATATTGGTGGTTTTATTAAGGAACACTGTCTTAATATAGAATGAAATTTATCAATATGAGTGTCTTTTAACAAAGACCCATCTTTTATTATTAACTTATCTGTGTGGCACAATTTATATTTAAAAACCATAATGAATTGCAAGTTATTATAGTAAAATAATTAAAAATTATTAATAAAAACAGTGTTATGTGAGACCTATTATGCTCAATTGATCGTAAACGAAAGTTTTAATATTCGTTGAATACGTCTCAAGAATTATTTTACGCGTTGGATGAATGTAATTGTTTAAAAACGTTGATCGTATGTTCTTGTGTATATTGGTATCAAGGATGTAGATACAATTCCGGTACAGTATATGACGAAAGTATTATTTTTTTTATTGTTTTTAATGTAGGTAAATATACGACGAAAGTATTGATGTAGGTGAGTTATTGATTACTATGATATGGCACAAATTTAGTATGGTACAGGTTGAATAATGGTACGGTACAGGTATTATAAAAATACTATGATATCGTTCAAGTTTAGTGTAGTATAAATATAGTACGATGCAAGTACAATAATGGTATAGTTGAAATATTGATGTAGGTGAGTTATTGCGTACTATGATATGGTATAAATTTAGTATGGTACAGGTTGAATAATGGTACGGTACAGGTAAATTCTTTTCGGTATATATATGGTTGAATTGGTTATTTATTCAATTTATAGTACAAGCTTTTAATAAATATTAATATTACAATATATATTACAATATATAATTTAGCAGCAAACAAATGTGACAACCACTTCACTGTACTGTAGAATGTAGAATACCTACAGTACAATATAGTGCAGTAGACCTTTAACAAGTCGCTGAAGCCGCAACACCTGCAACAGACAATTAACAGTAATTAACTTATATTGAATCCTTCTAAGTACTATTTATAAAAAAATTTTACTAAAATTTTGATTCTAAGATATATGGAGCTATATTTAACTAGCATACTATTTAACGAATTTAATTCTTAAAAAGGAACAATAATGAATATTTTATTTCAATAATAATAGACAACACAACCGAGTATTCAAAATATCAAGTAGGTATATGTCGTAATATGTAAAATTATGGTTTATTTAAAATTATGGTTAGTGTTCAATTCAAGAAGTGACAATATATGTAAGTCCTTAACTCAACAAAAAAGTAAAAAAACTACTTCTATAGAGTGCACCAATATTAAAACAGTGCTGTAGATGTCAAAAAACGTATTTAGAATGTTTGAAAGTATGTATATGTGTATGAAACAAAAGTTTGGGACAATTCTACTAAAGTAACTGTGCCAGTAAAATCACTGAAAAGAAGATATCTATTTTATATTCTTTCAAAGTAAAATATTCTTTCAAAGTAAAATAAAAAATCTTGAAGTTATTGAAATAAACTTGTGGTCACTTTGAAATATGCATTTATTGAATGAAATGCAAAGAATATCAAAGAATTAGATAAAGCAAAAAGTAAAGTCATTTTTGGAGGATTTAATTTATAAATGAGTAAGGTATATATATATAAAATTAGCACACGTCAATTGAAAAGAATCAATTTAACTGTTTTTATTCACAAATTTGGAAAATATATTAAGAATGTTTCAAGAAAGAATGAGATTAAGAATTGTAGTACCACAAGCAGAATGTTGTGAGCAATAAGCATACAATTTTGCACCGATAACTTTAGAACATGGGCATGATTTTTTACTTTTAATGAATATAGCCAAAACAAATCCAATCATTGAAAAGAAAAAAATTTGCTTTATGCACTCTTCAAAATAACAAAAAATCTTCAAGTTATAGAAATAAACTTGTGGTCATGTTGAAATATGTATTTATTGAATGAAATGCAAAGAATATCAAGGAATCATTTAAATAAATGAGTAAGGTATATGTAAAATTAGCGCACGTCAATTGAAAAGAATTATTTTATACTGTTTTTCTTCACAAATTTTTAGAACATATTAAGAAAAGAAAAACATACAATTTTGCACCGATAACTTTAGAACATGGGTATGATCTCTTACTTTTAATGAATATAGCAAAAAAAAATCCCAAACTGTTTTGTGTAAATAAAAGAAAATCATACAATTTTGCACCGATAACCTTAAAACATGGGTATGATCTCTTACTTTTAATGAATATAGCAAAAAAAAAATCCCAAACTGTTTTGTATAAATAAAAAAAATTACTAAGAAATTAATATAAATGAGACTGAAAAGTAATGTTGAGAATTCAAGAAAAAGAAATGTAGTATTATAATCAGAATGTCATTATTAGTAAAAACACATTGGTTTAGGTTTAGAAAATTAATGTCATTTATTATTTTCAATAAATATGTCAACGGTGATAGCCAACGAAATTCTATAAAAGTAAAGTAAACTAAATTATACTTTATGGTAAGTATAAATCTTGAGACGTCTGAAGTTTGGATAAATTGTTTTGTAATAAAATATATTAATTCTTTAATTAAAAGCATTCATTTGGTTTATTATGCTACAATTTTATTGAAATTGTACTATGAAATTAAAATTATAATAGAAGCTATCGCTCATAAAATAAGAAATTTGTTGAATATAACTTACCAAGTTATGTCTATTGTAAATGTTTGAATTTCTTTTTATCTATCAGGATGATTTCTACACCTTAAAATCCTCCATCAGTAAAAATATGGCGACAGTGTCTGAAATTTATGTTTTATTTAATTCTTATCTATATGATCAAAGTAATAAAATCCAGTGTCTAATGTAACATAACTTTTAACATTTTTTATAATTAGAAGTATTAATCAACTATTTATTGCAGAGAGAGAGAGAAAGAAATTATAATCATAACAAATAGTTTAACCTCATAAGTTTTGTTACTTACCAATTACCAAATGAGTAGAATTATTCACATCCACCAGTATAATTAATCACGTTCACGGAACCCGCGACCAGTAATAAACGAGGACGATATAAAACTTTTATTTGTACAACTCTTTAAAATTAATAATTAAGGCTAGAAGCAATAAGCACTTATAGAATGATTCTGACATCTGGCACTTCCAAACAAGAACTGGCGCGGATCATGATTTAAGCCACTGCGCAGCTATGCCTGCGCCGGTCGATTATATGATTTTTAAGAGAACTCTAATTATGAAAAATAAACTAAAACTTACATTTTTCAAACTACAGTAAAAAAAACTAAGCCATTTATAATAAAATACAAATATATTTTATTGACAACTGTACGGAACTCATAAAACTAATACATATTTCGATTTTAATAACTTTATTATTATACATTTATATATTTTTAAATAACTATTGGAATAGCATACATAATCATAAGATACATTTTTCTTCATTATTTTGTGTACTAAACTTTGGCACTTCCTTATTTATATCAGTCATTATATAATCTTTAGCGCTTCCTTATTTATATCAGTCATTATATATAGCTATCCTCCTGTTAGTAGTATGTATTTTAAAAATAAATATTAAGCTACAATAGACTTAGTATACAATTTTTTTATAGAATCAAAATCAAAAGCAAATTTGAAATATAGTCATTACGAAAAAAGAATTATCGAAGGGAAGTAAGTTAACATTTTTTCTTAATGGTCCATTTACATTTTAAATAAATATTAAATAGAACGTAACTTTTTTTCTTATTTTTTTTTGCTAAACATTAATTGAAAATAAATAAACTACTCATTCTTTTTGCGCTCAACTTCCATTGATAAGTTTGACAAATTTTGAATTTCTACAAGACGTTGTTTCTTATTTAATAGTAGGGTAGAATTATTAGTAGCCGTTGAATCACACCTCTTCAAAGGTTTATTTGCGTGCGCAACTATAGCTTCATCCAGTTTGTCTTCTTTCTCTAGTATTTCTATACAAGACATGTTGCGACACTGGAGACGTGTATTTCCTAAATAAAATATGTCAAAATAAAAAAAAAACTCAATTTCTAAAGTGGATATGTAGAATCGGCCCATTATCGCTCCCGCGACCCTTGATGTAATACTATTAATCTAATATGGAAATTTACCATTGTGGTATACGTTCGCTGTAACCATGACAGGCATTCCTTTTGCTAATTTATTTGAATCTTCTAGTTTAAAAGAATTGACTGTGAGAGGAACTTTATGGATTCCATCAGTAATAGTGCCAGTGCCAAATTTTAAAATCCCTTCTTTGTTATAAGCAGGCGTGATCACTGTTTTCATAAAGGCTTTGACTTCTGCAAGATAAAATTAAAGTTTCAATTAGAACAATTGAAAGAACAAAAATTTATACAAAAAAACTTCATCAACTCACTAATTTCGCCTCTATTCTTAATCAAATCAGAAAATGGAATAACAGGAATAGTTGCAACTGGTTTTGCAATTTTTTCAACAACATGAAAACCACACGTTGATATTTTGAAACCTTTCTGAATTATTATTTCATAGTTAACCAAATTCAACTCCTTATGAATTCTTTTAGTGCGTACAACGTGGCCTTCGCAAGCATCCAAATGTAATATCTAGAAAAAGAAATCAATATCAATACATTAAATAGTACATACATATACAGACACAGACAAACACAAGCGCACTGACACACACACATATATATATATATATTTATACGCACTTGTCCAGTAATGAAAAATCCTTGAAATTTATCAATGACCTCGAGGCCCCAGATTAATAAAAATAATCTCTTGGAGCCATTAGTAATTACTGCCCGAAATAAGTCCTTGTCATTTTTTTCTCCAACTTTAGACACGCCAAAAATTTCTGCCAGGTACCCTATAAACTCTCTAAACAATAATAAAATATAAGCGTTAAAAAACATTATTTCATTATGAAAAAAAAATGCATTTATATAGAGAGCTTGTTATTCTTTCTGAATTATTGACCAAGACGATACTAAACTTTTCTCTATAAATGCTATAAAATTAATGTGAGAGTACATAATCTATAAAATAAACAAAAAAACATTAATACTTTATGTATGTATGTGTATTATTATACTGTCGTACTGACACTTTAACTAAGCAAATACACTCTCACATTATCAGTATTTATTGAAAGAATAATTTGAAACTTGATAAAGATTTAACTTACACACTGTAGTCTTCTTGAGCCTCCAGCAAATATTTGATATCTTGGTCGGTGGTATACATTATATTAACTCCTAGCGAATTGACAGGCATTTTGAACCGGTGTTGAAATGTCTATGAAGAAAAATATAGTATATAGTATTAGTCTTTGCATTAAAATGTTATATGATTTGATATTCTACAGTTATTATTAATATATTATTATACAATTGTTATCATTAAATTGTTAGCAGTTGCTATCATTAAACTGTTAGTTGTTATTGTTACAGTTTAATAGTTGTTATTTAGTTGTCATTAAATCAATATCTTATAGGTAATTGTTTTGTCAGTCAAAAATCAGGGTTCACATAACCAATTGCACGGATCACCCTCGTGCACATGCTTCACTTACTTTCCTTATATAATTGTCTTATTTTATAATTACATAGAGTTACTTTTTATCATTATAATAATGTAATTTATAAGTAATGATAATTTACTCACCAATTGTTGAAAGTAAATCCTTGAATTATCACGAGGCCACAATATCATGTAATGCGTTCAGACACGAACAGACACGAACTATGCAGTTTCTTATTAGTATAACATATTGATTTAGTTTTAGTTTAATAGATGGCGGGGGGTCTCATACAGAGACGCCGATAAGTAAGCCAAATAACACATGCGCAGCACATCCAATGTGTGGACAACAGTGGACAAAAATTTGACTGGAGAAGAAAATAAAATTAGGCCATTTCGCGAAATGACGATGAAATAAGATGTAAATCGGGAATGTTAAATTATATAATTAAATATTTTCTTAAGTACAATATAAAAACGAGTCTCTTAAATGATATTTCAAGAATATAAATCGTATAATTTATGTATAAATCATAAATTGAATCGGCCCATTATGAAGCTGTTGTGTAATAGTGTCGCGTAGTCCGCGCCTCCGGCATTCATGCCGCAGGTCGCTCCCGCGACCCTTGATAAATATCTTATTATATCTTTGTGTTTCGGTTGGAATTTTAGTTCGTAAATGGAATTGGTATACCTTGTACTCCTCTGCATAAGTAAAGAATAGCTTTATTATTGCCTAGATAGTTGATATCGCCATATGGGTAATTCTAGGCTATTTCGATTGACTTGTAACCCTTAGGTTACGGATTTTTTTTTAATTTGGCACAATTGTTGTACACATAAAACTGAGATTTTTCCCAAATTTTGGAGACGATACATTAATTATATCAAAAGTTATTAACAATTAAAGAAAAATGATAAAAAATTTTCAAACAGCTATATTTTAAAAACTAATAAAGATATCGAAGTCGGATTTTTTTCAAAATACTTATAATGCCTTAAAATTTCGAAATAATTACAACAATAAACAATAAAAATTTTTTTTCGAAAGTTATTAACTTTTTGTTTAAACAATTGCTAATATCTCAAAAAGTATATTTTTTTTTTTTAAAATTCTTGCTCCTACGTATTCCTGAGGATTTTTGCTATCGAAATCAATCATAAAATTCAAGGGCCCGACATATCGGAAAGCGTAGCCCTAATCAAAAGAAGACGCCTCGGCGTAAGGCTGCGGTAGCGCTCCAGCGGACTCACGGTCGAAAGGTACTCTAGCTTTAATCTAAAAAACTAATAAAGATACGGAATCGGAGTTTTCCCAAATTACTTATAATACCTTGAACTTTCGAAATAATTACAACAATAAACAATAAAAATTTTTTTTCGAAAGTTATTAACTTTTTGTTTAAACAATTGCTAATATCTCAAAAAGCATATTTTTTTTTTGAAAAATTCTTGCTCCTACGTATTCCTGAGGATTTTTGCTATCGAAATCAATCATAAAATTCAAGGGCCCGACATATCGGAAGGCGTAGCCCTAAACAAAAGAAGATGCCTCGGTGTACGTCGCATCGGCAGCAGGCCGTTTTCGTGGTCTTACGCCGAGGTGTCTTCTTTTGATTAAGGCTACGCTTTCCGATATGTCGGGCCCTTGAATTTTATGATTTATTTCGATAGCAAAAGTCCTCAGGAATACGTAGGAGCAAGAATTTTTCAAAAAAAAAAATATACTTTTTGAGATATTAGCAATTGTTTAAACAAAAAGTTAATAACTTTCGAAAAAAAATTTTTATTGTTTATTGTTGTAATTATTTCGAAAGTTCAAGGTATTATAAGTAATTTGGGAAAACTCCGATTCCGTATCTTTATTAGTTTTTTAGATTAAAGCTAAAGTACCTTTCGACCGTGAGTCCGCTGGAGCGCTACCGCAGCCTTACGCCGAGGCGTCTTCTTTTGATTAGGGCTACGCTTTCCGATATGTCGGGCCCTTGAATTTTATGATTGATTTCGATAGCAAAAATCCTCAGAAATACGTAGGAGCAAGAATTTTTCAAAAAAAAAATATACTTTTTGAGATATTAGCAATTGTTTAAACAAAAAGTTAATAACTTTCGAAAAAAAATTTTTATTGTTTATTGTTGTAATTATTTCGAAAGTTCAAGGTATTATAAGTAATTTGGGAAAACTCCGATTCCGTATCTTTATTAGTTTTTTAGATTAAAGCTAGAGTACCTTTCGACCGTGAGTCCGCTGGAGCGCTACCGCAGCCTTACGCCGAGGCGTCTTCTTTTGATTAGGGCTACGCTTTCCGATATGTCGGGCCCTTGAATTTTATGATTGATTTCGATAGCAAAAATCCTCAGGAATACGTAGGAGCAAGAATTTTTAAAAAAAAAAATATACTTTTTGAGATATTAGCAATTGTTTAAACAAAAAGTTAATAACTTTCGAAAAAAAATTTTTATTGTTTATTGTTGTAATTATTTCGAAATTTTAAGGCATTATAAGTATTTTGAAAAAAATCCGACTTCGATATCTTTATTAGTTTTTAAAATATAGCTGTTTGAAAATTTTTTATCATTTTTCTTTAATTGTTAATAACTTTTGATATAATTATTGTATCGTC